TCTTTGCAAGGAAGGCATTATACTCCATAGTGAAGTTGTTTTGTTTTGTTTTAATTCAGTATTTGAAATTCTTCCTATGTTTCTGTGAGTTTTGGTAGCAGGAAAGTCTATGCTGTCCCTACAAAAGCTAAGAAAAGTGAATACTTACTCTTGTGAACCTGCTAGCTGGGTATGGTAAGTGACCTAAGCTCAGACAATCAGACGCCTTTGCTGGGACTGTGAATCTGAAGCAAGTGTCACAAAGAAAGAGGTAGTTAGAATTCACGCCAGTGGTGGTGGCATCAAGTGTTCAGTGGCAGTGGTGCTAAGGGCAGCAGGCGGCCATGGCAGTGCCTTAGCAGTATCTAGTGTCTAGCGATGGCAGTGCCAGTGCCCAGCGTTCAGCTGCAGAGCTGTGTCATCCTGACCAGGCTGTTCCTCTGCTGAGATCGTCGTCCAAGTGCTTGCCACCTGACTGCCTTAGGTTCCTGCCTAGCTCTTCAGTGTTCCCCAGGATTCCACAAGCTACCCAATATCCTTCCCCCAAGTTCCCTTTCTCTTAAATAAACCAGTCATTTGTTGTTGATTGCAACAATAAATGTCTATTTTGCAGAAAAGAAAATTAAAGCTTTGAAAGGTTGAAAATGTGTCCAAAGTTTTGTAACTAGTAAATGGAGGCAGAATTCTAATACAGGTCTGTCTGGCTTCTAAATATTATTCCCGCCCATCCCAGCCCCCAAGCCACTGCATCTACAATGTGGATACAGTATACGCTTCACATGACAGGTGGGTGTTTTAATGGCCAAACAAGCGTAGAGGTTGAATTAGTCAAGGTAAGTGGTGATTTTATCTTCTCTGATGAATACAAACTGAGAAATCAGGGAAACGGCAAACATGGTTATACAGTGACTCTGGAAGAAGGATGGGGATGGCACATGCTGTCCCAAGATCACATTGGACATGTCCTGCTGTATGAAGGTGAGTCAGCTGGGGTTCTTTACAAGTCGGTGTGAACAGTCATAGTAAGCAGGCTGGCTTAGAAGGTGACCCAAGATGTATACATGACTGCAGATGAGATTGGTCAGGCTTTTGGTGGGACTCAGCCAATAAACTTGGGAGGCAGGTAAGCACATGCCTCCTCCCCTCTGGGACCAAAACTAACTTCCTCAGCAGGCAAAACTTAAATATTCCTGAACTTCTAGGAGACTAGATGGTTCATGCAGGGCTTTCCTCCAAGTCACTGTTTCCCTTCTACTTCCTGGTGCCTATTCAAACCAAACCAACAAACAAACCCCAAAACCTCAGTACTTACTGCCTTCAAACTTAATCTCATCCTGCAAACTATTCCAGTTTTCTATGGAGATGCAGGAGGTAATGACTTACCTGTAAGAGCCAGAGATGATAGCATCAGGAATTACTGGCCCTAGAAACCTAGAGTTTCTCCACCGAATTACTGTCATTTGTGTTCATTTGTGTCATTTGTGTTCATTGCTTTTGCCACTCACAGGATTGTGAATGGGAGACTTAATTATTGGATTTTAACTACTTAGCCTACTGTCATCAATATTGACCACGAATTTCTTGTGCGTCTACCTATCTTGGTGTATGAAAGAAACCAAGGGCAATTATCAGTTAGTTAGCCATTAATAAATAATAAACTGTGACCTGCCTTCACTGGATCAAGCTTGCTTTAATTTGGTTTTTTATAAAAACTCACATTTCCTCCAAGCGTCACGTAGCCTAAACAACGAGATGTTTGCCCAAGTTGTTTTTTCGGAAACTTGGAGTCAGCTGTGTCCCGTTTGCGCTTAATCCTGAAAAGACTGGTTGGGACCGCTGACCCTCCAACTGGGCGTGCGCGGGTGTCCGCTCAGTGACCTTTTGACGTCAGAGGGCCAGGAGCTCCACCCTCAGAACATGCTGGTACCACTCTTCTGGAGGTGCGGCCGGTGAAGAAGCCGGTAGCTTAGTTGCACCTGTGCAGAACTAGGAGTGCCTCAGCTGTTTATTATCTCCAATCACCTTTCCCCGCTTTCCCCACGCCCCAGCTTTATCCCATAAATATCCCCGAGCCCTTCAACCTTGCCAACGCGGATTTGAGATTCGCTCACCCATTTCCTCGTTTGGCTGCCTCGTGGATAAACCCTTCCTCTGCTTCAAACTTTGGCGTCTCAGGGTCTGGCTTGCTGCACCCCCGGTGAGTGAACCTGGTTCGGTGATATTAACACCTAAGATGTCAGGCAAGTATACAAACGGTGGACAGGTTTGGGGGGTTTGTTTTCTTCTTAGTGTATAGAAGCCTGTATTTCCCCCTCCACCGGGACCTCAGTTTTACATCAGTCCTATGTATGTACCCTTAGTTCAGGTAATCTTGCTTAGAGCTAGAGATCTAGACCCTAAAGGAGAACTACTTGTAATAGTGTTTCATTTACTCCTAACGGCAGTTTGTGAAGAAGAAAAAGAGCAAGGCACAGTTTTAGCAGAACTATTGCCCCCCGAGATAATGTGTGGTCTCTACATTTAAGGAAAACCCAGTGAAATTCCAGTAGTATTTTTGGAAGTAGGAGAACTGATTTTTAGGATGCATATATGGAAACTAAATAAGCAAAAATGATCAAGGAAAGTTGTTGAAAAAATAGACTAACAAGGGGTAATTTCCCTAGCAAATGTTGAAACACATTGTAAAAGCTATAATAATTAAAATAGTGTAGTACTAGGCTATAAATAGATCGATGGAAATTGAATAAATGATAGATGACATTTTAAATCAGTGGGAAAAGATAACTTCTATCAACTGGTTAGCCATCTAAAAAATTAATTATCTATATACCTCATAGATTACACCAAAGTAAAAAATTATGTATGTTCCTCATATATTACACCAAAGTAAAATTCTAAAACAATTGAAAGTAGTAGAAGAACGCATGAAAAAAATACATGTGTATATTCTTGTGGAAAAAGTCATATGATACAAAACCTACAAGTCATATAAGGATGAATACATTTGACTACATAAAGTTTTCACATCTACCTTGGAAAACGTATTGCCAAAAGGCAACTATCAAAAAGGAAAAAAAAAACCTTCCTAAGATAATAGATATCTCAGTATGTATCTTACTTGAATTTTCCTCAGCATATGACAATATCGGCCAGTTGTTTTTACTCGAAGTTCTTTTTCACTTGGCTTTTCTGCATGGTGCTCTTTCTTGTTATTTTTTGTTGTCACCCTCATAAAACCGTTTCTTTCCCATGTAGAATTAAAATTATTTTTTCCCAACATTAAGTCCTTGGCATTCCTCTTTGGCACACATATTCTAAGAGTGGCTTTAGCCATTTTACAGTATTAGACAACATCTATACATGTATGACTCCTACACCTGTATCTTTGAATTAAATCTCTCTTTTGGAGACACCTGCATATGTGGTCACCTACCTGGCTGCCCCATGGCAACTGAAAGTTGACAGTTGAGATACAATATTTTAAATCTTAAAACCATTTAATATTCAACTAGAATTAACAGTGAGATCAGAGAGGACAGAAAACCTTCAAACTTTGCTTTTTCTCCGCATCACTGCAAGGGGCTCTTTAAGACGAAAATGTCATTTACAGACCATATCTCCATAATGGCTCTCTACGGTTCTCATCTGAGCTAAAATAGTTCTGGAAACCCACATATCTCCAGAAACTAGACCTAGTTCCAAACTCATAAATGCAGGTGCCAGTGGGAAAGTTGGAGAATACGTGTTTCCTCTTATTGGTGAGTTCTGTGAAGGCAAGTACTTTAGAATAATGACTGGCGTATGGAATGTGTTTAATAAATAAGAGTTCAACATAAATTAATAACTTTTTCAAGTTGATGTGGCTCTAAATTGCCTGTAAAACGTGATTTTCAATGTTAAAGTTTCCTTAGAGTAAGTTAGTAACAGACCAAGAGCTAGTCCTGTACAGCTGTCTGTATCTTTAAGGAAGACAGTCTCGGTTGTTTGTCCCCTATATGCCCCAATCCCTGTATGGTAGTGGGAAGTTATTTTGGGGAGTTCTGGGAGACAGCTTGGGAAGGTGTTATGATTTCAGAGCTGATTAAATCTGATACAAAACCTTTTCCCAAAGCTCTCAAGACCTGGAGTCTAAATTTCTACCGACCAAAAGATCTGTCTTCATTTAAATGAATCCAAGATCCTAGTAACAGAGGAAATTGGTCCTAAGGCCCTACAGCATCAGTATGTCCAATACTAAACTCATCATCTTTCCTGAAATGTGGCAATTCCTTTATCTCTTGTTTCGGTCAATATCACAGTCTTCTACTCAGCTTCTCAAGCTATTAAGCTGTGAATCATCCCTGACACCCTTTTTTTTCCCCCTGAACCGTAAATTGAATGTGAATCTTATCAGATTTACATTCTGAAGGCCTTTCTAGTTTGTCCCTTTCTCAGTGCCCTCACTGCCTTACTTTAAGCCCTCTTTAATTTATTGTCTGTTCACTACAGCAGCCCCCTAATGGGTCTGCCAATCATTTCTCTCCACCAATGTTAGAGTTCCTTCTAGTATACAAATTTGGCCACTTTGTTCTCCTGCCCAGAATGTTTTATGGCTTCCCACTGTTTTGGGGGGTAAACTCCACACTCCCTCGCATGGCAAACCTCTGTTCACCTCTCCCCCCTCTTGTCTCATCCTCCCTTCCTCACACTCTTTGAGGAGTAACTGTTGTGCCTTGAAATCACCCCATTCTTTCTGGCCTCTCTACCTTTTTTTTTTTTTTTTTTGCGGTACGCGGGCCTCTCACTGCTGTGGCCTCTCCCGTTGCAGAGCACAGGCTCCGAACGCGCAGACTCAGCGGCCATGGCTCACGGGCCCAGCCGCTCCGCGGCACGTGGGATCCTCCCGGACCGGGGCACGAACCCGCGTCCCCCGCATTGGCAGGCGGACTCCCAACCACTGCGCCACCAGGGAAGCCCCCCTCTCTGCCTTTTAACATGGCTTCCTTTCCGCTGAAATGTAACTCTTCTGCTTTTTTTTCTAGCCAGTCACGGCTTGTCCATCAAGATTCCACCCGGTTCTTACCTCCCTAAGAAGTCTCGTTTGATGACTCGACCCAGGTAGGATGCCCTCTTCTCTGCTCTCATCAGTGCTCCGACCCTGTGCGCCCCACTCTCTGTATATCACAACACCCTGTACAATAGATAATTACCCGCTCTTGAATGTGAGCTTATCGAAGGCTGATTTTTGTATCTTTTATCTTTGTGATGCCTGTGCCTAGCAGAGTTCCTGACGTATTGTACCCCTGGTACCTATTTTATGATGAGAGAGGAATCAATGAAACAATATCCTCCTTTCTCCCTAGGAATTTTAGGCCTTGGTGGTGGATTCTTTTGACATGGGAGTGAAGCATTAAAAGGGATTTCCTTGGCTTACTTTCATAGGCTGTATTTTTTTTTTCCTTTCCTCCAGAGGAGCATTTGGAGTGTTAGGTCATGCAGAATTGCATTTTGCAGCTTGGGGAAATGATGGTTTGAAGGCATACTCAACACTGGAGAGAAAACAGGACTGGAGTCATAGGGCTGTATGCTTGAAGTCTCTGCTTTTGGTAGAGAAGAAAGATAATCTATGTTACTGTATTTACCCAGATCATTAGGGGAAAAAAATGGCAGGCAGGAATTCTGGGCATATCCTGTGTACAGGAAAAGAGTGAATTTGATTTGGGCGTTCTCTGGCTTTTATCATTTGGGAAGCTGAGGGTAGTGGTAAGCAAATGTCCTCCTTCAGCTGCTCTTATAATAAAACTAGTACCAGAGTGCCCTGTAAGCTGCCCCTCTGTATTGTCATCTCTTCTGCTTTCCTCAATCTTAAACTTCATCCAGAGTTTCCCGAGACAGAGAGGCACAGAGAAGACCATAAACCATCATTTAAGCCCCTTACAAGGATGACAGAGTCATCCCTGTTTCTCACCGCCTGTCTCCTTCCTTCTTCCTCATCATCATAACTGGTGTGTTCCAGATTCCTTCCACATATTCCTCAAAAACATTAGATCTGTTTTCAGGGGACTGTGGAAAAGATTGGAGAACACTGAACTAGACCACCTCCAAAGGAAACATCCCATTTTAAAAGCTTTATTTCTCAATTTAGTTCCAACCATCAGCACTGTTTACATATTCTGACCATGCCTTAGAGACGTACAATTCTGTTCAGTTCAACAGGTCATTGCGAGGCCTCATCCCAGGCACTGGAATCCAAAAGAAACATCGACAACTGCTTCCACTAGGCCCTGTGGCAATGTAAGGAGAGAAGCTCTTGGCAGGGCTGGGAGCACTACCTGAACAGTGGGGGAGTGTTTTGACAGCCTCTTAGATAGTCCCCAAACGTGGAGTGCCCTTTTGTAATCCCCTTTCCTTGAGTGTGGTCTGGATTTAATGACTCACTTCTAATGAATAAAACACAGCAGAAGCAATGGTATGTCACCTCCGATATTAGGTTATAAAAAGACTGCTCCTTCATCTGGGATATTAGAACAACAGGCCTTGGTGAGGTAGAAGGAGGAACAAAAGTGATGTTCAGGGTTTTAGATTGAATACCTGGATGGACGGGGTGTCATTTACTAAGATGCTGAAGACTGGATTTTTTTTAGAAAGGGAAAAAAAACAAGAAGGAAAATGTTCTTAACCATGATTTTGGTTCTGGATGTGACGTTTGAGAAGTCTGTGTGACACACAAATAAAAATGTCTGCTAAACAGGTTAGATGTAGGGCTTGACGCTCAGAAGAAAAGGTTGGGCTTCCATGTAAATTGGGGAGTTTTCAGCATGTTGATGTTGTTTAATCATAAGACAGCAGAGATCGTCATGGAAAAGTGTAGCTGGAGCAAATTTGAGACCGCAGGACTGAGCTCTTAGGAATACCAACTTTTAGAGGCTGTACTGAGAAGAGAAAGTTAATAAGGCAGAAGAGGGTGAGACACAATTGCCAGACAAGTTGGAAAAGCAGGTGTGTGCATTCTTGTGGGAAGAAGGAAGCTCCTAAGCAGGAGGGAGTGGTTAATTCGGCCAAATGCTGCTGAGCGGTGAGGGAGTTTAGGGATGGGAAGTGTCCATGTGATTTCGCCACGTGGTGGTCGGTGGTGACCTTGTCAGGAGTATTTCAAACATGCACGGTTAAGGGCCAACATGAGCACAGAAGAAAATCGCAGACAGCAATTCACATGCTGAATTCTTAGATCTCTGTGTTTATTAAATTTCAGTTTGATTTCATTTGATTTATGAAATCCTCATTTCCAAAAACGAAAGCAGAGTATACTTGAACTGTTGACACCATATTGAAAGTAGCTTTGGCATTTGCTTGCCGAAATTGCTAGCTTTCATTTTTGCCAGGTGACTAAACAATGAGAAAACGAATCTAGTCAGCACTCCCTTCTCTTTGCCTGGCAATAGTTGCTAGATGCACGCACAGACTATGACAGTGCTTCTTTATATGGTTGAATTCAGTCATCTTAAACAAATTGGACAAGGCGCTAGATACATCTTCTAGCATTTTCTATAAACAGCACAGTACCCTTATAGTGACGTGCTGGATAAATAACGGCTCAGGAAGTGTGTACTAATGTCCAAATGGCCTGGAAAGAATTTTCCAGTTTTGAAAGACATACCATCTCAGGGACAGAGAAGGCTTCATTTAGCTCCTCAACAGCTTAGCACCAAGTAACGCTCAGAAGATTACACTGCACACTGAATCAGTATGACGTGGTCAGTGTAGTCACAGTCTGATTTTGTAGTGGTCTCTTTGAGCTGTTGCAAGGATTAGTAAATGCGGTTTTTGCATAACCCTGACAGCCTCAGGAGATTTAATTTAATAAAAATATAAACCCACAGATAAGTCTTATTTTGTAACATCCTGGGAATCACCAGGATTAGGGTTGCTAGACCAGCCATACCTCTGGCCCTTTTGCAAAGCCTGGATGTGTGTGGCCTATGGGCCAGAGGACAGGTTGCTTTTGGTTAGCCCAGGGCAAGGGCCAGACTGAACTGTGCAGACTAGGGAAAGTTCTGGAGATTTTGAGTAGCGGTTTACATAGGGCTTTAGAAATGATTACTCAAGGAGACATTTTCTGTGATTTTTTAGCTTTGCGAGTGAAGTAGTATTTTTGAGATGTTTCTTTGTCAGTGGTCTAATAAAACCGTTGTTAGTTGTACTTCTCTGGATTAGGAAATATTTGAAGACTGCAATAGTCTGATGTGATTTTTAGGCACTCTTTGTTTGCTGACTTTTTCTTTTTAAAAATCTTTTTCTGTCTTTAGCCATTCATAGTAAAACAAATAAATAAATAAGAAAACAATCATAAAACATTAAGAACAATAAAAACAGTAGTCAGTCATTTAATAGTAGTGCCCGGACTTAGCAAACCAACATTATTGCCATGTTTGCCATGTTATTGCCATACACATAGAATATATGTTAAAGTTTGAAGAACACTGCACATTGTTTTGTGTACGTTTCTACCAACATTGATTATTATGGATTTTATTCTAACATACAGATATACTATTAATACCATCTGTGCAATCGTTCACGCATTTTAGTTATTTCCAGTTCCTAACCTTAGAAATAAAATGTCAGCATCTCATCCATCCTTGTTCATGTGATCCTCTGACCTTCAGATAAATATAGGAACGGAATTACTGAGTGTAAGTATGTGAATGTTTATGAAGCCCTTGATATATGTTTCCAAATTTCCTTCCAGATATTTTTACCAGTGTCACCAATTTTCACTCTATCATGATATCATTGTTGAACTTATCTATGATAATTTTTTTCTTCCATTTTTGTTGAGATATAGTTTACCTACAGCACTGTGTAAGTTTAAGGTGTACAGCGTAGTGCTTTGACTTACGTACACCATGAAATGATTATAGCAGTAAGTTTAGTGAACATTCATCATCTCATACAAAATGAAAGGAAAGCAATTTTTTTTCCTTATGATGAGAACTCTTAAGATTTACTGTCTTAACAACATTCGTATAATTAACAGTGTTAATTATATTAATCATGCTGTACATTTCATCCCTAGTACTTATTTATGTTATAACTGGAAGTTTGTACCTTTTGACCACCTTGATCCAATTCCCTCTCCCCCACCCCTGCCTCTGGCAAGCACAAATCTGTTCTTCTTTTCTATAAGTTTGTTTTGTTTGCTTGTTTGTTTTTGAAGAATAATTGACCTACAACACTACATTAGTTCCTGGTGCACAACAAAGTGATTTGCTATTTCTATACATTGCAAGATGATCATGAAGCTAATTCTAGTTAGCATCTGTCACCGTACAAAGATATTACGTTATTGTTGACTGTATTCCCCACACTGTACATTTCATACCCATGACTCATGTATTTTGTAACTGGAAGTTTGTACCTCTTAATCTCCCTCACCTATTTTTCTCATCCCCCCACTCCCCTCCCCGCTGGCAACCATCTGTTTGTTCTCTGTATCTATGACTCTGTTTCCGTTTTGTTATGTTTGTTCATTTGTTTTTTAGATTCCACGTGAAAGTGAAATCATATAATCTTTGGCTTTCTGTCTATGATAATTTGATGGGTAAAATAGGTATCTTGTGCTGTTTTATGTGTGAAATGTAACCTTTTGCAATATGTGTATTGGCTGTTAATACTTCTTCTATTGTAAATTATGTGAGCTTGTTCTTAGTCTGTTTTTCCTCTAAGATGTTTGTCTTTTTCTTATTTAATTTATAAGATCTGTATATATTAAGAACCTAAAGTATTATATGCATTGTCGATCTATTCCTCATTTATTCAGTTTGCCTTTTATGACTGAAAAAAATGTTTTTAATTTTTATAAAACTTAATCTATCAGACTTTTTCCTTGTGCCCGCTACCCAGGCCCTGCTGTTATGTTCATAAAAGCTCTCTGGATTCCAAGAAAAGATAATAACAACCTACATTCTTTTCTAGACCAACTAAGAGTTTATTATCTTTATATTAAATTTTTCAGTCAATCCAGAATTTTCCTTAGCATCATGGAAAGTAGAAATATGACATTATTTTTTAAAGTATCAATTATTAAATAATCTCTTTATTAACTAATCCATTTATTA